ATGTGCGTTGTCATATCTTAACCCACCACCCGTTGCTGTTTCGGAACGTATCTTTGATCCACAGCAAGCCAAGCCACTCGTTTTATAGGGTCTTAGTAAACGTCAATAGCAGCGGGCGTCCCAAAGCCGTCTTGGCAGTGGTCGGATTTGGAGCTCCTGAAAGTGATGAATGTGACCACTCCCACCTAAAAATCTCATTGTTAAATGCATCATCGCCTTCCTCGAAGCAGAGTCGTTGAAAACAAGCTATGAACACGGCAGGGGCTCTCAAAAGCTTTTATAAGTGCCCCATGTATCAGCAAATTTTCTTTTTTATTGCAGTTCGCTCCTCGGGTGGGAGAAATGTACAGCCAGTTCTAGCAACCAGACCATCCAGTGCGAAACCAACTCCAACTCAAGCACGGCAAAGACCATCCGGCCCGACTCCACCACCCGGTGGAAGAAGACTATCTGGCGAGAAGGCACCGTCTCAAAAAGGTCTGTCCGGGGAGAAGGGACCGTCACGAGGATCTGGCGAGAAGGCACCGTCTTCAAAAAGTCTATCCGGCGAGAAAGCGCCTTCTCAAAAAGGACTATCCGGCGAGTCGAGATCGTTCCAAGGAGTGCCATCACGTGGGACACCACCGCCAAACAGGAGATCATCATCTGGTGCAACACCGCAACAGCAGCGGAGACCATCCAGCTCGAAGCCAACACCTCCTCCAGCAAGTAGGCAGTGTGGCGCAAGACCAACTCCACAGCGACAGGGGAGAGGATCCAGCGAGGAGAGAACACCAGGTAGAATGACTACAATTATACCAGTTAAACATACTTCGTGCACGGTTTGTATTGCAGGTCAGTCACGACTTGTTCAAAAACCGTCGAGTAAGGAGGGCATGGTCACTCCTGGTAAGCACACGATTTTACAACACTTTTCGCATGAAAAAATGCAAGTGATGATTCCATTGCAGCCCGTTCCGCTGAGAGTAGAGGAACAAGTGCGGCACGAACCCCAACGCCAAGTAAGTAGTCAGCTTAGCCTAGTAGTTAGCCTCTCACTGGTGAGGGAGAGAAGCAGGACTAGCACGATATAGTCTTGACTTAGCCAAAGGCTAAAATCCGAAGGTCCGCTGAACCAGCATCATCTAGGCGACTTCATGGGTCACGCGGTCCAATTGATTCTGGCATTGGCGCTGGAGCGCATTAGTCGTCGTTTTTGTCTCCTCATCACTGAAGTTCATGCCAAAATCGGTTTCTCGCACTCTTCTTCCATCTGGCTTAGCTTGAATGGTGCGGCCCAAGCGATCGCTTTTTTCCCCAAACTGCAAGATCGATGTGCTCCTAATCTCCTTTGCACACTAAACTTGGTTGCATTCTAACGGGTTTATTCGCAGCGTGAGAACTCAAAACACAGTCCACTCCGGCATCTTAGAAGTTGGAAGAGACCTTAGCGCCACTGCCTCTTCGAAAAATTGTGCCTCTGAGTGATGGAAATAATTTGGAAAATAAGTACATATAATGTAGTTCGCTGCGGACGATTGGGCGTGTCAGGCGGGATAAGTTTGGCGCGGTGCCAAACGTGTTCTCCACCGGTTTCTGAAGCGAGCAAGTGATACTGGCTTATCATACTTGCTTCGCCGATTTCTCGTTATTCTTACCACTTTTTGACACATGTGCGCTTACAAGAAGGCAGAATGGCTTTGACGGTGTGAAGCACTCATACTGCCTGACACGCCCAGCCTTCCGCAGCGATGTAGAGTCTAGAAATGGCGAGATCTTGTGGAAGAGGATAGGCTGAAAAAGTTGTAGTTCATAGAAGTGTAGTCATATGAGAGTTCATCAGAGGGGGAACTGCCATAAAATTATAGGATGTCCTGAACTGAAAGTTACCCAGTAAGGATTCAATTCCTCAACCAACGATTCATATTTCAGTGCGAAAGTGTCCAGTGCCTTACCATTGCCTCGACACAAAGAAGAAATCTCCTTCTTTCGCTGTCGGTATGCTCATCCTTACTTTCTTGGTCTATAAGATTTATTGCTGGAAACTTGCGATAAATAGCGAGACTTATTTCGCGGCTTGGCTTACGTTCTCTGTGTTAGTGGTGTATCCGACACAAAAGTAAATATTTAAGGGCGACTTATTGTAGAAGATACTGAATAATAAAATTGTCAATCAAGGCACGTCATACTTCTGAGATCCTTATTCCAATTCGCCGAATTGAAGTCCTTTGGGCAGGAAGGGACTGGGTGGTATGAAACCTTACCGAGTAGGGTCTTATGCCACACACCTATCTATCTCTCCGCACGGCGGCGGTTTTCCGGGGAAAGAGCGGAGGAATTTCTGGGAAAGAGGAAAGAAGTTGAAAAAATTAAGAATTCCGGAAGATGGTAGGTAGTGTTGAAGGCACTAGAGAAGGAACTTCTCAAGAGGAGTAGTGTCGTATTTTGAAAAACTTTCGGCAAACTTTCGCAACGGCAGGAGTGTCCTTTTGTCAAAAGATGTGAAGTGTGAATCCCAGTCGCGGCATCGCAGTACGAATGACTTGGGATACACAGGTGGTGGGGGCAAAAAAAGACACTTCGGTCCGAGTCACATATCAGCAAAGTTTTCGCAGCCCAGACAGAGACGTGGATACGAGTACCAGGGCGGAAGATACCCAAGATGTTCCTCGATAAGCAGGAGCAGGCTCTCGCCCATCACCTTCATGTACACCAAAATATGAAGTCATCTCCAATCGCAGCCGAACTGAGAAGGCCTATGGAATTCACGTCACCTCCAAACAGCTGCGAAACTTCCACCCATGGACAGCTACCTGGAGACCGGCACTCTTGATCTGGAAGACCTCCAACATCGAGCAGCTCCGACAACGTCGCTACGGTCCAGGATATCATCTTCACCGCAGTCGCCAAGGCGCGGGTTGGTGGTATGGACCGGAAGTTCCTGGAATGGGAAGAGAGATATTTTCTTCGTGGACCCCGGACTAAGAGTAGAAGCTACACGCTAGGGTTACATCGACCAACTGGAGGAGAACATCCTTCCTTCATGTTGTCGCCTGTACCGTCTTGGAAACTTCGTACTGCTACAGGATTGGGTGCCAGCACATGGAATCGAAGAGCGGAAGGGCGTTGAGTACCTGAAGAAGACGGAATATCCAAGTGTGTCACCTGACCTAAACCCCTCGATTACCGGGTTCGGGCGGAGCTCAACAGGGTGGTCTACAGTGGCGGAGAAATCAACGACCTCGCTGAACTCAGGCACCGAATCACGGTCGCGTGGCAGAATCTCTCGATGGCGCTCGTCCAGAAGGCTGTGGCGGAGTATCGTGATAGTGTACAATGTGTTGTTGAATATGGTGGTGGAAATGTCCAATCAGAATTTGATAAATGTAACTTATATCGCCTTGAAAGTCGAGGAAGAAAAGTGCCTTTTTTGCTCCCCCCCCCTGTATAGCCGAGGCGCAGCGCCGCTCGGTGGGGTCCTGGTGCGGATTCTGTGTACGTCACCTCGCGCATCTTGCCGGGAAGTAGTTGAATGATGAGATGGAGAGGAACACTCTGCTTTCTTTGTCGACAAAACGTGCCATCAGCACAGTAAGGGGGGGGGGGGAGGTCCAGGACGTAGGATATAAGGTCTGACAGAAACCGATTGGAGTATTGCGCTTGATCGGAGCTCGTATATCTGCTGACTAGTTATACTAACAGTTACTGAGAAAACTGAAATACAAACAACTGATAGACCTGAAAATGGGGGCGTGGCTATAATCGTCGTGGAATTTACTACAGAAGAGGTCGCTTTCATGCCAGTTCAAGCGCACGCACATCATTTCCCAAAGATGTGAGAGGTGTGGCCGCGTACTTCATTTCAGCACGGTGTCGGGTGCGTTGTTTGTTCGATATTTCCATATGAGACAGCTGTTTTACATTGAACAAGTGCATAATTACAAGTTGTCTCAGAACATCAGTATTCCATATCGTAGAGCAAAACGGAAGTCCCGGGTGCTACGGCGTATTCCCGTGGTATTCTCCTCTCTTGCCGTTGTTTGCCTGTCTATCGTCTGGACCCAGGGCACATAACTAGTTGGGGATTTTAGTCGTGTCCGTACGACCCCCACCCCTGAAAGTTGGCTTGATAGGACCCTCCCTAGTTCTGTCGAGCGGGGCGGGGAAGAGGGAAGGGGTATATTGTGCACCTGATACGTGAAAAATCGCGAAGAAATTTCGACCGTCCCTCCCATTTTACCTACCGCTTTCATAGATTCTCCCCAACTTCTGACCTGTTTTTCCGATAGTTCCTGAAAAAGTTTCCTTACTTTTTCCTCGAAATTGTGCTGTCGAGCGGAGGGGTTGGGAGGTGTCGCGGGGATATAATACGCCGATAGACAATGTTAAAAACTAGCGAAATTACTGGCCAAAACAAAGTCAACACCGGAAAATTTTCCCACACCGGAAGGCATACACAACCCATACCCCCTTCATAGTGTCCGTAAAAAAAATCAGCTATTCAAAAAATTATCCAGTCTACTTTGCTCCCATGTTCCAACAACGATGTTCCGTGTTTGGAACATCACAGCTCCAGCCTCACCCCTCCCCTTCTCCCTTAGTGCTCTCAGACATGGAGTCTAGGACTGCTCAGTATATGTCGCCAGGGGCGAGGGCATCGAATAATCGTACTAATGCAGCAATTTTCGACATCCCATGATGGACCTCTCATAGATCTCTGCACCTGGACGTAGGTGAAAGTTTATGGGAGAAGAAAACCCAAATCGGACATGGTCGGTGGGCGTGGTGATCAGCTAGACTCACAAAATTGACAAGTGAATGCATGGGCGCAAGTGGGATTGTTCGATCAAGAACAATTTTGATATGCGCGCTGGGGGCGTGCAGGTGGACGACGTGGCGCCTTACGGACGAGTTGTCTCGCCGTTTGAACTTCAGTAGTAGAGGGACGGGAAAGTTTGGCGTCGCTCCTCATGTCAGCGCTTGGAGCTACGGGGTTCGCTGCTCCAATCCACAAGCTTCGAGAATTCGCCACGCATCCCCACGGTTACGTCGTCGCCATTGGCGACGCGGACAGATTATGATTCTCTTGTCCGTTTCCCGGCGCAAGCCCTTCTAGGGGGTTACCCGGGCGCAGGTAGGATTAGCGTGCAAAACCGGGATAGCCAAGGCGGAGGTAAGGACTGCCGTGGTGGACCCAGAGGTGAGGAGCTCCAAGGGGAGGGGGCTTCTCTACAAGGGGATTGCGAAACCCCTCAGTGAGACCTTCGTTTCACGTAACCTTTTTACATTCTCGTTTGCCAATTTCCTTTTCTACTACAGTAGTACAGTACTGAATTGCAGCCTCTACTTATGTCAATCCGGAACTGAGGAACGAAGGCGATCCTAAACCTTTGGTGAGAGAGCCGAAGAAGGAGAAACCAGAAAAGAAAGCCGGTGCTGTAATATTCAATAATCATTTTATTATTACCGTAGCTATCAATTTCCTTTCGAAAGAGTTATTTTTGAAAGGAAATCAATAGTTGCAGTGGTTATTCTGGAACCCAGGAAGGGTTATTCTTGACGATTTTCATGAACACTTTTTCAGTTAGTCGTGGTCGTGGTCACAGAGATCATCGCCGAAAATCTAGCAACACTGCTAGTGGTACGTGGAAAAGAAAAATGGCGGTTTGGCTTGGGGGGGGGGACATTTTCCACGTCTGATTTTTCCTTTTGCTTGTTCCTGTCAAATTACACGCTTCACCTTCCTACAAACCTGTATTCTCTTGTCAAGTGTAAGCGAGGAGTTTACAAATCTCCGCAGTGATAGATGGAAACTAGCAGAATGCCCCACCAAGCTGAATAGCACCAGAGAAATCTCTACTACAGGTACTTTCAAAAGTAGTTCCTTCTTTCAGAGCAGTCACGCACACCAGAGCGTAGAGAAGAACCACAGAAAGCACCGGGTGCGATACACTTCTTTGCAGTTTTTTGATAATTCATGGTAAATTCTCCATACCTTCCGTAATATGGAATGAGAACCGAATAGAAGCAAGCACGCGCAGTGAAGAATTACCTTCCAGAGTGGGAACGAATAACGACTGAAGGTTCCTTTGGTTACGGCTACCAATTCGAGGACACGTCTCGCATTCACTTTGTGTGCAGACCCATTCCTTGGGCAAGGTAACCCAGTCCGCAAACCCAGAGGATATAGCTCTTTTCTGGCTCAAAACTATGTGACAAGGACGCAACCCATCCGTGACCAAGGCAAAGCCCCGCCCACCGCCTGCTTCTTCATGGCGCAGCTGTCCCATTACTTGCACTTTGCTTGCCTAATGAGGGAAGGAAGTGGTAAAGTTAAAGAGCTGATACCAGCTGGACTGAATTCTCCTTCCCCGTACTGTGAAATTCAGATCGGTAGGAGGTCCCATTTGGGTCTACTCAGGACACTTGACAAGGCTTTTCTTTTTTCCGTCGCTTTTGAACTATGCCCGCGTTGTCATTCAATGGTTTTGTTAACTGCCGACGGTGTGGCCTTTCACAGGGCATTGTTTGGCGCGGCGCCAGCCAATTTCCCATTAACTGTGGTCGCTGGCCTTCCGGACATACCTCAGCATTCGCAACAATCGAGGTTGTATTTTAGCTTCATTATCCACCATTCGTGATGGAGGGAAATGCCTTCGAATGCGATTGTGGAAGTTGTAATGGTGTGACAGTGGCGTTCTGCTCATATGGCACGGAAGGTTAAAGGCAGTTGGCACGATAAACCCTCCTAGACGAGCAGGACTAATACGCCTGGCAGGACGGAAGTCCGCGCGACCCTGAGTAAGGCGTTGCATAATCTTTCACGGAAGGTGGCCCTTACTAGGGGCTATCAGTACAAACTTCAAGCCCGCCAAACGCCCCTCGCCCACAAATGGACGACTGTTCCAGACGCTCTAATTGATTCATTTGCTAAGCAAATTATGAAGCGAAGGCATTGGTATGAAGCGGTCGTGATGCTGCATGGATATATGAGTACACATATGCAGCCGTACCTTCGGTAGCGGTTATTGGTAAGATGCCTTCGGGAAACTCGTCAAAATTTGAAATGCAGATGTACGTTCGGGTAGCGGTTAATCTGGGTAAGGATGCCCTTCGGGAAACCTAGTCCAAAATTGATTAGTAAACATCGAGAGCGAAGTC